CTCGGGACCCCTCCCCCCGGGGCCGCTTTGTCACTCCGCCGCGCTTGACGGCCCCCGAGGCTGGTTGAGGGCCCCAGGAGTGTGAGAGTGGCCCGGTGCTCATCGACCAGCTGCTGTGAGGGGTCACAGGGAGCTCCCGCGCCCCCCCAAAATGCTTATCGACCAGCCACTGCTGTGAGGGGCCTCAGGGAGCTCCCGCGCTCCCCCCCCACTAGGTGCTTATCGACCAGCTACTGTGAGGGGCCACGCGGGGCGCACACACCTTCCGTCGCGATGCTGTGCACGGTGCGACGGGTTCCGGGTCCGCCTCGCTCTCCCGGCCACCGCGCGCGGTCGCGAGGTGCCCGCGGGTCATCCTCGGGTCATCCTCGGGCACGTCTGGCGTCCGTTTGCCGCGGTTTGCCCCTGATCGATGGCACGGACCCGAGCCAGCCGCAGTGAGCAACGACTGGCCACAGAGCATTGTGACAACCCTCAACGTTAGGCGCAGTGCGCCAATCCACGTCGGAATCAGCAAGCCCTCCTCGATCGTCCCTCGCTCCTCCTCCACCTGTGAACTCCCAGTGATTGTCTGAACTGCTCTAGCGACGTGGAGACAATAATCGTCTGGACCACATGGCAACCAACGAAGCTGTTCAAATCCTGGTGCACCCCACCAAGCACCCAAAACGACCCTACAGAACCCTGGTAAAGCCCATTGGAGGAATCTCTGCTGTCGTCGCCTCTTCCTCCCTCCCTCCCCCCGTACTCCCTCAGATGCACAATAAGTGTCTAAAGGACTTCTCGGATCGGCGCTGGGCCCTCCTTTGGGGCCGCCCCTTGCGCGCTCCGCGCGCCATGGAGGGGAGTCCAACGCCGATCCAAAACATCCGCGCGGACCTCTGAAGGCTCCGTGAATTTTACGCAGCGTGTTCTTCGATTCTTTCCCTTCCATCCCCCCCCAAATCCCTCCTTCTTCTTCGACCAACCACCAGGGAGGGATGCAGCCCCCCATCAGGGCACGGCGCGAGACAGGTCGAGGCACAATCTTGCAGGTGGCGCACCACCTGTAGCCGTTGTCGCGCAGCTCCTGGGCGTCTTCCTCCTCCTCCTCGTGCTCTTTGCTACTTTCGTTCTTCCCCTTCCCTTCCTCCTCCTCCTCCTTTTCCCCCTCCTCTTCCCTCTTCTTCTCCTCCTCTCCATCTCCTCCTGCTGCTCCTTTTCGCCCTCCTATTTCTCCGCCTTCCGGTGTCAAGGCTCGGACCTGATTTTGTGGATGTCCGTTCCGTCCCGATCCTCCCTCCGCCTCCACCCTCCTCTTTCTCCTCCTCCCCCCGCTGCTCCTCCCTCGGACCAGGGCGAGTTGATACGACGGCAGCTAAAAATCGGTCCCCAGGCCCCTCTCGGGGTCCAAGCGCACAAGTTTTCTGGGCTGCGTCCAGCTGTGGCGACGAGAGGGCCCCGCCGAAGGCAAGCGAAAATTGCCTCAACTCGCCCTCCACCACCCTTCTGCTTCTCCTCCTCCTTCTCCTCCTCTTCCTCCTCATCCTACCTCCTCCTCCTCCCAGTATATTGCCCCCCCCCCCCCCCCCCACCCCCACCCCCCCCCCCCCCCCCTCACCCTCCTTCTCCTCCTGCCTCGCCTCTCCTGCTACTCCTGCCTCCAGTCCCCCCACCTGCGAGCTCCGATCCTGGTCAAGAGTGGACAAAACCCAATAACCCCTCAGAGCCTCACGATTCCCGTGACCTCTTCCTTTTCGAGCGTTTTGCCTATTGGGTGGGAGCAAAATCAATCGGGGAGAGGAGCGAGGAGGAGGACGAGGGACGAGGAGGAGGAGGGGCAGGAGGAGGGAGGAGGAGGGAGGGGAGGAGGACGAGGACGAGGCCAGGAGTCCGAGGAGGAAGGAGGAGGAGGAGTAGGAGGAGGAGAAGGAGGAGGAGGAGGAGCGGAGGAGGAGGAGGAAGGGAAAAGAGGAGGAAGGAGGAGCGAGGAGGAGGAGGAACGAAGGAGGAAGGAGGAGGAGGGAGGAGGAGGAGGAGGAGGAGGAGGAGGAGGAGGAAGAGGCAGGTGGGGAAAAAAATTCACCCTCCCCGATGCATACTTCGGGGCCCCGGGGAAAACCCTCCAGAGGCTCCTGGCCTATTTCGGGGTCGCTAGCCCTGCAGGCCCTCGATTGCCTGGGTGAGAATCCCCCCCCCCCCCGGATCACCACCGGCGACACGCCCGACTCCTCCTCCTCCTCTCACTCTCCTCCCTCTCCTCCTCATCCTCCTCCTCCTCCTTTCCTCCTTCCCCCTTCCCCCTCCCCCACTCTCCCCCTCCCCCTCCCTCCCCCTCCTACTCCTCGGTCCTCCTTCTCCTCCTCCTCCCTCCTTCCTCTCCTCCTCCTCCTCCTCCCGCCCCCCCTCTCGTCTCTGGAGGCTGCCCAAGAGGGTGCGAGTAGCTGGGGTCAGAAGATGGCGCCGCATCGCCGATGTATCGGCGATGCGCCAGCTACGCCGGGATGAATGAGGTCGGGCTCCGCATCACGCTGCGCGGCCGACGCACCGCCGATGCAGGCGTGATCCTCCGAAACCATCTGCTCGGATCCCGTCTGGGCTGGGCGGCCCTCGAGATCCGACGTCACGAAGCATTGCAACACTGTACAAGCCTCTCGACTACAACCCCGGGCACCGTCTTTCTGCTGCATGTTTCGAACCAGATTTCGGCGGCGAGCCCGGGAGGGGAAGTGAGAAGGAGAAGGCCTTCTCGGAAGGCTCGGAAGTCCCCCGGCCTTCTGAGAAGTTTTCCAAGCCTTCCCCGAAGACACAGCAGACTTCTCACAGGCGCGAGGGCTTCTGAGAAGTCCCGCCGCCTTCTGAGAAGGCCTTCTCCTTCTCACTTCCCCCCCTCGCTCGCCGCCGAAGATCGACCCCGTCCCCAGGTCCGAAGCAAGGCCAACTTGCCCGTGATGTTTCCACAGCGTGGGCCCTCGAAGGCCCGACCCCGACAACTTCCCCGGGACTGGCTTCTCATCCCGAGCCGACTCGTGAGGACCGGCACTGGCGCCCCTCGAGGGGCCCTGGAGGCTACGAGTGGCGAGAAGAACTCCGTCATGACTTTCTCACGCACGGGGCGAGGAAACCTCGGAGGAGGAGGAGGGAGGATGCGAGAGGAGGAGGAGGAGAAGGAGGAGGATGAGGAGGAGGAGGAGGAGGAGGAGAAGGAGGAGGAGGAGGAGGAGGAGGGGGAGAGGGGAAATGAGGAGGAGAAGGAGAAGGGAAAGGATGAGGATGAGGATGAGATGAGGAGAGGAGGAGGGGAGGAGAGGACGAGGAGGCTGAGGAGGAGGTAGGAGGAGGAGGAGAGCAGGAGGAGGGAGGAGGAGGAGGAGGAGGAAGGAAAAGGACAGACAAACAGGATGGTGGCAGGCCAGCGCAGAGGCGATAGGAGAAGAGCGGCAAGGTTGGAGGCCTGCAACACCGCGTCGAGCAAACGGGGCCAGGGCGAGCGGAGCCGCCTCTCTTAAGAGGAGGTGGCCTTTCGGAAGCCAGCGGCCGCCTGGACCATCCTGCTCCCCACACGCTCGAAGGCTCCTCCTCCTCCTCCTCCGCCTCCGCCTCCGCCTCCGCCTCCTCCTCCTCCTCCTCCTCCGCCAGAGTGAGCACGCGAGGCGAGGATGCAAAACCCCTGGGGCCCCCAGTATCCGCGGGAGCCGTCGTGCCGCACATGGCAGGGAGGGGCTGGGCAGGCAAGGGTGCACGGACAGCCCTCATATCAAGCACAGCTGATACAGGCGGCAACACAAGAAGTCTGGCGGCACGCTCGATGATGGCCTTTCGGCTTCAAGGGGTACCCTGTCTTCTGTGGGCCCCCGGGGGCCGTTGGGGGATGAGCACTTTCCGTGAGGAGGCACCCGCTGCAATTTCCGTGAGGCACCCGCTGGCACTCGGGTGTCTTGTCTGACGTGCCTCCTGTGGGGGGGCAAACATCTACCCATATAACCATACTCCTCGGACCTCTCCCCTCGGGCATTCAGGCCAGAATCTCGAGGAGACTCGGTACCTTCTCCTCCTCCGATGCTGCGCCGCATTCGGGGGCATCCTCGGGCCTCCGTCGGGCCATCTCGGGCCCACCCTCGAGATCTTCTGTATCCTCCTCCTCCTCCTCCTCCTCCTCCTCCCTCCCCCTCACCTCTCCCTCCTCCCCCCTCCTATCCTCCCTCCTCCTCCGCTTCCTCCCCTACTCCTCCTCCCCTCCTCATCTCTCCTCCTCTCCTCCTCCTCCTCCTCCTTACCCCCTCCTCCTGTCCTCCGGCTCCTCCTCGTCCTCATCCTCCTCCTCCCGCCTCCTCCTCCTCCTCTGCCTGCCCGCCTCCTCCTCCTCCTCCTCCTCCTCGTCCTCCTCCTCCTGGTGGCCGATCCTGGTCCTGGACCCCTTTTGCTCGTTGCTATAACAGACGCCGAAGGCACGGCGCGGAGGATTCAGCGCCGCCCGCGCTGCAGCCCGCCGCACTCGCAGCTGCGGCGAGGGCGCCAGGCGCAGCGGCTGGGCGGGACAAGCAGAAGCGCAGCCAGCTCGGGGCAGTAGGGCGGCCACCGATGGGGGAGAGGAGGGGAAATGGCGGTGGGGTGGTGGTCACGGAAAAGAAGATGATGAGGAGATGAAGATGAAGATGAAGATGATGATGATGCTGCTGCTGATGATGCTGATGCTGATGCTGATGCTGATGCTGCTGCTGCTGATGATGATGCTGCTGCTGATGATGATGATGATGATGATGATGATGATGAGGAGGAGGAGGAGGAGGAGGAGGAGGAGGAGGAGGAGGAGGAGAGGAGGGGTTATCAGCAAGGAGGGAGGAGCGCAGGTGCAGGAGGACCATGGGATGTGGAGCGCTCGGCACGGCGGGTGCTTCCCTGTGTCCGCGCCGCGGCGCAAGCGAAGGAACCGGGCAAGAAGGAACCTGATGAGGAGGGGAGGCAATGAGATGATGGGGAGGACCTGAGGCGGATGAGCAACAGGGAGGAGGCGGAGAGGCATCACGGAGGAGGCGGAGGCACAGGCAGGAGAGGGTGGAGCATGGACGAGGACGGGCATGTGATGAGCAGCACCAGCACGGAAAAGCAGGACGGCGGGGCGGCGGCGGGGGCCGGACGGCCTTGCGACGGTGTGAGGGGCCAATGGGGTGCTCACGCGCGGCCCCAAGAGTACGCCTGCTGCCTGGGCAGCCCGGCCAGGCTCGGCAGCGAGCAGGAGCGGTCCTGCACGGGGCGGGGGGGAGCTCGGCCTGGGTGCGACAGAGGGGGGCGTTCGTGGATCGCCCCTCCACCTTTTTACTCCTCACTCTGTCCTCCTCCTCCCTCCATCCCTCATCCTCATCCTCCTCCATAACTCCTCCTGCCTCCTCCTCCTCCTCCTCCTCCTCCCCTCCTCCCTCCTCCCTACCTCCCCTCCCTCCCTCCCCTCCCTCCTCCTGCTCCCCTCCTCCTCCTCCTCTTCCCCTCCTATCATCCGCCTCCCTCATCCTCCTCCTCCTCCTCCCTCATCCCTACTCCTCCCTCCTCATCCTCATCCTTCCTCACTCCTCCTCCTCCTCCTCCCTCCTCCTCCTCCTCCCTTTCCTAAACAAAAAAACGCCCTCCCTGTCGCGCCCTCGGGCGTGTCGGTAGGGCGGCCCGGGCGTGTCGCCTGAGACTTCCTCATCGCATATGGTCCTGAAGCTGGACGGTTGCAAGTGCTACGCGGACGGAAACGGGTCGTCTTCGACATGGGGTTCTGGCCTTGATGCCGCGCGCATTTGTCTTCAACCTGGCCGCGTGTACAAGGAAGGAGGAGGGCCGTGTTCAACATGGGGCGCGCTGGCGACTCTCATGACCGTAGCGATCAGACTGTGGACCATATGTAACACATGCATGGATGGAGGGTGTCTCCTTGTGCTGGGGCTACCGCTTTAGCCTTCCTCCCGCGAGTGTCGTAACCATCAGTGTAAACATGTGTATTACTCAGTTACACGGATTAAACAGGTTGCAGCTCATTTCAGAGTGGGGCTCTCGTTGTCCACATCGTTCAATGTATGATAATGGTTTTGGGCATTGCGTACAACTACCTAGACAGAAGCAAGACAAGCTCCACTTCCAACGGGACTCTCGCCTGAATGGTCTGCCCATCGGGTGCCCATCGTTTGAATCATGCTTACAAGGTCATATCACAAGGAACTTGAGACGGGAAGGTGTTTTGCCCATTTGCGCTGGTCCCTCCTCCTCCACCTATTCTCCTGCCTTTCCTCGTCCTCCTCTCACCTCTTCATGCTCCGCATCTTTGTTATACTTCTTCCTCTCCACCTGCTCCTTCTCCTCCTCCTCCTCCTCCTCCTCCTCCTCCTCCTTCCCCTCCTCCCCCTCCTCCTCCTCCTCCTCCTCCTCCTCATCTCCTCCTCCTCCTCACCCTCTCTTCCTTTTTCCGCCCAGCCCAGGTCCTCTCCCTCCTCTCTCCTCTTCCTCCTCCTCCTCCTCCCTCTCTCACTTCCCCCCTCCTCCTCCCCTCCTCCTCTTTTCCCCTCCTCCTCCTCCCCTCCTCTTCCTCCTCCTCTCCTACTCCTCCTCCCCCTCCTTCTCTCTCCTCTACCCTCCCCCACCTTCTCCTCACCTCTCATCCTGCCCCCCCTGTTTCGCCCTCCCGAGGAGCTCCCGGCCCCTTCGCCAGCAAATGCTTCTGTGTGTATGTGTGTGTGGGGATGCGTAACGGAGGTCAGGACACCGCAATGCGGGTGCAACTAACGGCACGTGTGTTCCCTTTCTCAGCTTCGTCGGAACTTGCTCTGAGTTTTAGCGCGTCGTCCATATTATCAGTCATACTTCCCTTGCTTGTTAGTTGTCCCAGCCAACCCCAAGAGGGCCCACAGGAGGTCGCCCTGATGCTTCCAGGAAGAAGCGACCAGGCGGCCCCCGAATGAGCCACTGCTGGTGGCTGGCTGAGCTAGTCTCCAGCTTCAATTTGACTGGCGCCCCCCCCTTGTTTCACGAGTGCTGTTTCACATTTTTTCTCATCGGCTACACGCAAGCATGACCCTAGGCAAGAGTGACCTTTGGTGCGCGGAGCAAGGGGACGCAAAGTGGCCAAATCCAAACGCACAACGAACCGCTATCGCATGGCGCTGTCGCCCACTCTGCTGGCGCGCGGGAGCGCGCTGGCGGAATGGGCGGGGCTGGAGGCTGTGTGGGTTGATCCCCAGCTTCGATTTGACTTGCGGCTCCCCCTTGTTTCACGCGTGTTGCTTCCATTTCTCTTCTCAAGATGCAACGCCCCCAAACGGCATCATCATGAACCTCCGGGCCGCGCGGATTCCTTTCATCAAAGCCGGCTTCTCATCCTGAACTGTTTCTTTACGGCCCCGGCCCCAGCTGCCGACACGGATGCAACATGTCCGTCCTGAGCCCCTTAAGATGCGTTCGAGGTCTGGGACCGCGACGCAACCGAACCGGTCGCACCGTAGTGAGGGGGAACGTCAGGGGGGAAATGGCTCAGAGGGTGCAACGTTCGGGGGCGCGCAAGCATGGATTAGCCATCCACGGATCTGGCGCGCGGTCGCCAAATCCATGGATCGGGGGAGGTGCCCTCCCCAACCTGCGGCCGGTGCCGCCTCGTTCGGCGGCGGAGCTCCGCGACTTCCCACGGAAGCGGGACCCGTCGCTAATCCACGCCCCCTGGATCCATGTTTGCGATTGCCTGGAGCATCGAGCTGGGATCGGCGATACGTCGCCAGTAGATCGGCGCTGCCGCCCCGGTGGCGCGCAGGAGCGCGCGCGCCGGCGGGGCGGCTGGGCGCCCCGACCGAAGACTCGTAGTGCGGACCCCCTGCGAAGCATCTGCGTGCACGCCGTCTGCCGCTCTTCCATCCTTACACTCGCGGTAATTGGCCCAGATGTGCTACCCATCTTACTCTTCCTCCTCCTCCTCCTCCTCCTTCTCCTCCTCCTCCTCCTCCTCCTCCTCCTCCTCCTCCTCCTCCTCCTCCTCCTCCTCCCCCTCCCCCTCTCCCTCCCCCTCCTCTCCCTCCTCTTCCTCCTCCTCCTCCCCCTCCTCCTCCTCCTCCACTTCCTCCTCCTCCTCTTCCTCCTCCTTCTCCTCCTGCGGAAGGAAGGGGAGAGGGAGGGGGGGGGTCTGGCTCTGGACCTCTGCTTGATGCGACTGTTTGCAGCAGTGCGTCCTGTGGGGGGAAGTCCACCTGTTTGAAACGAGCGCCAAGAACAGCCAAGATCTATTCCCGGGGGGGGGAGGGGGGGGGTGCGAGGGCCCGCGCCCATCGGCAAAACAATGAATAAGAAAACGATCACCTTGAAAACCACATCCCAGAAATACTTTCGAGCACCCAAAGAAGTATCCAAACGGGTCTGCCCGACATGCCGGCGAAGCGTCGGTCGAGCATCGCCCCCCAGGGCCCGACACGTGAAAACCTCCCAGCCTCAGTACTGTCTTGGTGTTCGAGAGTCTTCCTGGCGGCCAGGGCTAAAAACATGCTGGAACATCACATCTGAGATGTCCACAACTAAGTTCTGGTAGTTATGTTGAAGTTGTGGAAGTTCGGTTGAAGTTGTGGCAGATAGCTTTCATTTTTTGCTTGTTTGTTGGACATTAACTTCCCCTTCTATCTTAAACCACTCTATCCCCTATCTTCCCCCTTACATCCCCTATCTTAAGCCACTCTATCCCCTATCTTAAACCACTCTATCCCCTATCTTAAACCACCCTATACAAGCCCAAAGGCCGTCTCATCTTGGGCTGTAGCGGGCGGGTACTTGGAAGATGGCCAGCTCGGACCACGGCGGCTCTACCGCCCTGTCCAGTTCCGCTCCCAATCCGCTCCCGGGCCTCTGGGATCCATCTTGGCTCGTGCACGGATGCGGATCCAGCCGTGGCTGCGGGAAGCCTCCCGGAGGCCCAAAAAGGACAACAACAAAACAACGCCAATTAAGGCCGCCGTTGTCTCGACTGGCCCTGCTCCGGCGAAGCCTCACTCCATAGGAGGAGGAGGAGGAGGAGGAGGAGGAGGAGGAGGAGGAGGAGGAGGGAGGAGGAGGGGAGGAGGAGGAGGAGGAAGAAGGAGGAGGAGGCGGAGGAGGAGGAGGAGGAGGAGGAGGAGGAGGCGAGGATAGTGAGGGGGGGAGGAGGAGGATAGGGAAGGAGGAGGGGGGGGAGGAGGAGGAGGAGGAGGGAGGAGGAGGGAGGAGGAGGAGGAGGAGGGAGGAGGAGGAGGAGGAGGAAGGAGGAGGAGGATGAGGAGGAGGAGGGAGGAGGAGGAGGAGGAGGAGGAGGAGGAGGAGAGGAGGAGGAGGAGGACAAGGAGGAGGAGGAGGAGGAGGACAAGGAGGAGGAGAAGGAGAATGAGGACAAGGAGGAGGAGGGAGGAAGGGCGAGGATGTGGAGAGGGGAGAGGATGAGGATGGGGAGCAGGAGGGGTGGAGGAGGAGGGGGGGGAGCGAGGAGGAGAGGAGGAGGAGGAGGAGGAGGAGGAGGAGGAGGAGGAGGGGGAGGAGAGGAGGAGGAGGAGGAGGAGGAGGAGGAGGGAGGAGGAGAGGAGAAGGAGGAGGAGGAGGAGGAGGAGGAGGAGGAGGAGGAGGAGGAGGAGGAGGAGGAGGAGGAGGAGGAGGAGGAGGAGGAGGAGGGAGGAGGAGGAGTGGAGGAGGAGGAGGAGGAGGAGAAGGCGGAGGAGGAGGAGGAGGAGGAGGAGGACAAGACAAGACAATCCATAACACTTACGGGCCAATGGGTCACCGTCTTGCTGGAGAGGAAAACCTTGAAGGCTTGAAATAAGTTCAACTGAGTATATGGATATGGCTCTGTGAGCGCTGTATGTAAGAGCCTACCTGCGGCCCTGCGGGGGGATTCCTCTGGCCTACGGAGGGGCCAGACGGGGGCAAGCGGAGGAGGAGGAGGAGGAGGAGGAGGAGGAGGAGGAGGGGAGGAGGAGGAGGAGGAGGGCGGAGGAGGAGGAGGAGGAGGAGGGAGGACAAGGAGGAGGAGGAGGGTGGAGGAAGAGTGGAGGAGGAGGAGGAGGAGGAGGCGGAGGAGGAGAGGAGGAGAGGAGGAGGAGGAGGAGGAGGAGGAGGAGGAGGAGGAGGGGGGCGGAGGCGGAGGCGGAGGCGGAGGCGGAGGCGGAGGAGGAGGAGGAGAGGAGGAGGGGAGGAGGAGGAGGAGGAGGAGGAGGAGGAGGGAGGAGGCGGAGGAGGAGAAGGAGGACAAGGAGGAGGAGGAGGGAGGAGGAGGATGGGAGAGGAGGAGGAGGAGGAGGAGGAGGAGGTGGAGGGAGGAGGAGGAGGGAGGAGGAGGAGAAGGAGGAGGAGGAGGGAGGGAGGAGGAGGAGGAGGAGGGTGGAGGAGAGGGGGAGGGGAGGAGGAGGAATGGAGGAGGAGGAGGAGGAGGGGAGGAGGAGGAGGAGGAGGAGGTGGAGGAGGAGGAGGAGGAGGAAGAGGAGGAGGAGGAAGGGGAGGAGGAAGAGGAGGAGGAGGAGAAGGAGGAGGAGGAGGAGGAGGAAGAGGATGAGAGGGAGGAGGAAGAGGAGGAGGAAGGAAGAGGAAGAGGAAGAGGAGGAGGAAAAGGAGGAGGAAGAGGAGGAGGAGGAGGAGGAGGAACCTGTCTCCAGCGGCCGTCAAGGACAGAGCGGATACCCCCGGAACGCTCTCGGCGAGGCGCAGCTGCTGGAAGGCACCCCGCGGCAGGGACACTTCCAGGAGACGACGACCTCTCAAACCTGCTGGGCCTCGTGGGGGCCCTCCGAGATGTGCGACGCGCAGGGGACTTGCGCTGCACAGGCCCGCCCCCGGAGTCCCCCAAGATGGGGTCCGAGTAGATGGGGTCGGAGGATCGCGCCGCATCGCCGACACATTGCCGATGCATCAGCAACGTCGGCGTGGTGGAACTCGGGCTCTGCATCTAGCCGCATCGCCGATGCATCGGCGTTGCGGCGCGATCCTCCGAGCTCATCCCCTGAGATCCGACGCCGTGGAACAAAAACATGGTCAAAAATCACGACTGGGGCCCTGGACCCTATCTTTTCTCACCATTTTCGAGCCGGGCCGATCTGTGATGGCCCCGGGGCCCGAAGCAGGGCGAAAACGCCTGTTGTGACAGAATAGCAGCACCCAGATCTCAGGGTCTACTCGGAACTGCACCTGGGAGGCCTGGAGCCCCTGAGCGGTCCATGCCCTCCGCGGGGTCTGGCCGCCGGTGGAGCGCCTGCGCGGTGCGCCGCGCGTCCCGCAGATCCTCTCTCAGGTGGGGTCAGATTGGGGGGACTCGTCGGCTGAGACGCTCCTCCTCCTCCTCCTCCTCCTCCTCCTCGATCCTCCTCCTCCTCCTTCTCCTCCTCCTCCTCCTCCTCCTTCTCCTTCTCCGCCTCCACCTCCTCTTCGAAATGAGGGGGAACGACAAGGGGGGACCAGATCAGGGAGGGAAGCGTTGGCCGGGACTCGGCGATGCATCGCCGATAGATCGGTGATGGGCCCCTGATTGTGAACCCGAGCGATTATGGGCGGGGTGGGTTATCGGGACGCTGTCCCCAATGCATGGGCGATTTGGGGTCGATGCTTCACCCCCTGAGCCTGTCCAACCCTAACGTGGCCCCCGAAATTGGGGGGGGGGCGAGGATAAGAGGCCTGAGGCAGACGGAGCAAGACACGGCATCAACTTGAGCAGGGACCGACCGTCCCGGCATTTCTATAGGCCTACCACGACATGTTCTTAGAACCCAAACATGTTCTAATAACAAAAACCATGTTCTTAGAACATAAGCCCGATGTGTTAAAACAAGACAGTCCCAGCCAGAAATGTTCCAAGAACATTTCGTGGAAGCCACAGAAGGTTCTTAGAACATTCTTTGGTAAGCCTATAGGACGCCAGGAGGCTTCGCCACTGCTTGATCAACGCAAATTTCGATGGCCAGTAGTTTCCCTGGGTCGGCGCTAGACCCCCCTCCCTGCCGCGCGGAGCGAGCAAGGCGCGGCGCTGGAGGCGCCGCTGGGGGGTCAGCAACATTTCCAAAAGGAATCTGCTCGGACCTTCGAAAACTCATACTGGCCGCCGGCCCGGGTTCGCCAATGCTGCATGACCCTTGAAATATATACTTGTGGAAACAGTAAATGGGAGGGCAATAGCAGCAGAAATGGTTGGGCTCCAGTGCGCGATCAAACAGGGAACCAATCGATTCTTGAGGCACGAGGGTGCTCAAAGTAGATCGGGATCTGGGAGTCCAACGGTGTGGGTTGGTTTCTGGCTCGGTTTTTGTGGCCAAGCCGTGTTCAACTCAGACGCGCTTGAGCGATGTTTACAAGCATGACCATCTAAAAGCAAGCTTCCGCCACAACGACGCAACATGGTGCCAAGGACGCGTAACCCTTGTCAGGCTGCATTCTCGTAGAGCGTACCTCCGTTCAACGAGCGGCCTGTAGCAAAATTGCCTTCTCCCACCCCTAGAGGCCTCCTAGATGGGGTCGGAGTAGATGGGGTCTGAGGATCGCGCCGCGTCGGCGACGTCGGCGAGGCATCGGCGCCATCGGCGTGGAGAAAATCGGGCTCCACATCTAGCCGTATCGGCGATGCATCGGCGATGCGGCGCGATCCTCCGACCCCATCTGCTCCGACCCCATCTAGGAGGCCTAGACCCCCCCAGTTTGGCTGCAACCCGTCCGTGTGGGATTCGCTCCGGAGGCAGGAGCCCGTCCCAGGCCGCAGGTGCGCCGTGGGGACCCCCTGGCCCACTCGCGCTGGCGCCAAGGACCTCGGCGGCTCCACGAGGCCGGGGGGGCGCTTGTCCACTGGCGCCGGGCACGTCCCGGCGAGAGGGTGGTAGTCCTGGGGGGGCACGACTTAGGTCGGGCATGTCCTCCTACAGTTGGATTTTGGAGTAAACATGGAAAATAGTAAACAAAATCTTGAACAATAGCCAGAAATGGTAAAGAAATCGTCCCCAGACTATTTTTTGACTACTCCTCATGTAGAGGAACACGCCCGACTTAAGGAAAGACGAATCAAAGCGTTGCCAGAGTGAGCCTCAGATAAGGAGCGAAGCCCCTTTGGGGGCCTCGGCGCAGCGCCCAGATGCACGCGCAGCGCCAGGGGAAGACGCGTGGAAGGGAGCAGGAAGTCCACCCTCACAATAACTTCCCTCCCCTCCGACAGGAGAAGCCGTTTCGCAAGCGCACCCGAGGAAGGTACCGAATTGGGCAGGGCTGTTTAGTAAACGCCCAGGGCCGTTTACTAAACTTAGGTCGGGCGTGTCCTCCTACAGGCGGATTTGGGACGAAGAAAAAAGCACCCAACAAATATCCAAACATAGTTCAGCATAGTCAACTAATCAGGCCCAGTTATTATCATTATTATTATTAGTCGTACTACTATTATTGTTCTTCTTCTTATTTTCACATATATAAAACTACATTCTCCTGAGGAAGGACGCGCCCGACTTAATACTAAACCCCAATTTTCGGTGTCGGTGTGTTTTTTCCTCCTTTTGACAAGGAGCGTCGAGCCCCTGTCGAAACCAGTGCGGAGCTTCTCCCCCCAACACTGGGCTGCCTGTCGGTGCCTCTGCTCCCTGGGCGCTCTGGCCGCGGCTGCGAGGCCCCCCCCCCCCGGGGAGGCCCGAAGTGGCGAGAACGAGGCTTCCCCCACGCGCGGACCTTCGACGAAGTCCCAGGAAGCCTAGAAATCTCTGCTTCTCCCTTCCACTCGCGGGCCCCAGCGGACTCGACCCTCCCTCCGCTGCGGCAGCTTCACTTCCCAGATCAATGTTTGATATCTGTCCCAGGGGCCCCGCTCTCCAGCGGCAATGTTTTTCATCCTGGGTCCATGTTCGACGGTCCCAGGGCCCCCCAAAAAGGGCCCCTGGATGCCAACCTCTGAATTACACAAGGCCGAACTGCACAAACCAGAGCGCCGGGTGGGCGCCGGAGAGCGCATGTCTTCCCCCCGCGAGGTCCAGGGGCGCCGGCGGGGCGCCTTTGGCGCGGCGAGCGCTGCGCTTCTTGGGGTCCAGGGCCTCGGCTTGTGATGCTCCAACCTACTCTTGCCTTGACCACCAGACTTTACTTTCGAGCACCAAGCAAGTACCGAACCCGAGATTTTTCATGCGTCGGGCGCAGGGAGGCGATATTCTGGCTCGACACACTGCTTCGATACTCTTTCTCCTGGGTGCTCGACCTTAGTTCTGGGATGTCCTCCGCTGGGCCTCCCAGGAGCCCACGAAAGTGGCGACAGTTTCGCAGATCGCAGCCCGACGGCACGAGAGAAGAGGAGAGGGGAACACAGGAGACAGGAGAGGAGGAGGGGAGGAGGGGGGAGGAGGAGAAGGACGGGCGACCACACTGCTCTATTCAAAACGAGTGCCCGACCATAGGAGGGTTGGGAACTTAGTTCTGGGTTGTGGGCCTAAGTGAAAAGCAGAAACAAAACTTCATAAGCATAAACTTTTGGCGCTCCGCGCGGATTTCTTGGATCTGCGCTGGGTCCCCCCTCCCCTACGCGCGGAGCGCGCCAGGGGCGGCGCCAGAGGCGCCGCTGGGGGGGGGGGGGGAGGGCCCAGCGCGGATCCAAGAAATCCGCGCGGAGCGCCAACAATTTATGTTTATGACGTTTTTTTGTTTCTTCTTTTCACTTAGGACCCCATCCCGGAACTAAGTTCGAGCACCCAGAACTAAGTTCGAGCCAACAGTTTATGTTCACGGCGTTCTTTTTTTCTGCGATAGATACGATGGGAGCAACAGAAGCCTTGGCTTTTGCTGTTCGAGTCGTACTTCAGGATCATAGCCTAGAAATAGTTGCGGACACACAGAGCAATATGGAAACGTTGTCGAACCGGTAATTATCGCCTCCCGAGGGCCGACACGCGAACACCCTCCAATTTTGGTACTTTCTTGGTGCTCGGAATTCCTTCTGGTGATGAAAGCTAAATAGAGGCCTCCCAGATGGGGTGGGAGCAGATGGGGTCGGCGATGCATCGGCGATGCACCGGCGACGCACCGGTGATGCAACGTCGACATCGGCGGTGCATCGGCGACGTCGACGTGGAGCAAGTCGGGCTCCACATCGAGCCGCCTCGCCGACACATCGGCGATGCGGCGCGATCCTCCGACCCCATCTAATAGGCAGCCCACAAAGGACGTACGCGCACAACTATGTACATGAACACGGCCCCTCAATCCGCAAGACTGGCCGCGTGATACGAACATTTGCGCAATGCGTGTTCTCGAAACCAGTGTGGATTCATGTACGTTTACGTCCTTCTTTCGCTCCTGAATCTAGGAGGCCTAGACTAAAGTAGGCTGGAACATCCCATCTAGGATCGGGGCGCGCAAACATGGATTAGCGATCCATGGATCTCGCGCGCGGTCGCCAAATCCATGGATCGGGGGAGGTGCCCTCCCCAACCTGCGGCCGGTGCCGCCTTGCTCGGCGGCGGAACTCCGCGACTTCCCATGGAAACGGGACCCGTCGCTACTCCACGCCCCCTTGATCCATGTTGGCGATCGCCTGATAGGAGGCCTACGAGTATCGTTTAACCGATCCCCATCCCCAGCGGCGTGGCCTGGGCCACACTGGCCGATCTACCCCCCTAAGATGGGGAGGTAGGTCGTCCCCTTCGGGTCTCGAGGGGCGTAGCCCCAACGGGGGCGGCAATCTGGTGGGGGTCTCGAAGGGACTGGGCATGGGGATGGGGGTCGGACACAGTCAAGACGCTGAAATAAGGAACGGTTTGGGTTCGGAAGGGGCCCGATGTTCCTCAGGTCCCTGCAGTGCTGCTCCTCCTGCCCTCCTGGGGCACGGAGGCGCTCACAGGGCCAAGAAGGGGCTTCGTTCCTTACTTAGCGTTCCTTCCTTCAGCGGCCCTTACCAGCCCAGAACATATCCCTATCCCTATGTTGGGCATCGCCTCATCACGATGGCGATCTCAGGGCTGCACCCTCAGCTTCTCAGGGTGCATTCCCTAAGATTGTCCTCGCCTCTCGGCGTGCCAATCTCAGGGATCGGGATATAAGTTCGAGGCCGGTGAGGCCCGACTGTAAAAACGATACTGGGCCTCCGTCCGACGGCAGGCCCGGAGCACCGCGGCGGGAGGCCTTGGCCGGCTTCCGCGCGGACTGGCTCTTGTTCAGCCGCGCGACGCTGCCCGGGCCGCCGAGGCCCACGGGCGGGCCGCCCACGGCGGGCGCCTCCTGCGACGGCAGCCGCGCGCTGGCCTGCGGTGGGGCGCGGCCCCCCCAAGAGGCGGGTCTCGGAGTTTTTTTTTTTTTTTTTTTTTTTTTTTTTTTTTTTTTTTTTTTTTTTTTTTTTTTTTTTATTTAAAAAAAAATAAAAAAGTCCAAGCATACTCCAGGAAAGATAACGCATAGCCCAAACAGGTGCCCAAGTAGCCAAGGAATGCTTGAAACAACTCCTCCCCAGACTAGTTTTTGGACTATTTTTTGGCTAAACAAACCCAAACAGACTCCAGGAAGAAATAACACATAGTCCAAACAGATGCCAACATAGCCAGCGAATGCTGAAAACAGCTCCTCCCCAGACCAGTTTTTTGACTACTTCTCTGACCAAGCAAATCCACGCAGACTCCAGGACAAAAAATAACGTAGCCCAGACAGATGCCGAAATAGTCAGCGAATGCTGAAAACGACTCCTCCCCAGACCAGTTTTGGACTACTTTTGCGTACTCCGACTCAGCGCCGGCCTGTGGCACGTCCGTGGCGCTGGCCGGCTCGGGCACGGCCCGCGCGCCGCCCGCGCCCCGCTGGGGCTGCTGCTGGACCCCCTGCGTGGCCGCTGCTGTCCTCGCTGCTGCGTGCAGTCGGCGGCGAGCGAGGGGGGGGGGAGGCGAGGAGGGGCGGGCCTTCGCAGTCGGGGATCTTCTGACCCGGGTCAGTGCAGGCCCGGGTCGGTCAGGCCTGGCAGCATCCTGCAAGATCCTGCGCCCAGGCCTGGGGTCACCGCGAAGGATCTGGCAAGATCCTGCCGGATCCTGCACCCAAGCCCGGGTCAATGCGACTCTGACTCTGGCCCTGCAAGATCCTGCAAGATCGGGCGCTCTGGCTGACCCCCGTTTGCATTGACCCCCGTCTCAAGGCTCCCGACTCAGGAGGCTCGGAAGTCCCCCGGCCTTCTGAGGAGTTTCGTGAGCCTTCCCCGAAGACACCAGAAGCTTCTCAGAAGGCGCGGGAGAGCTTCCGAGAAGGCGCGCCGCCTTCTGAGGCCTTCTCATTCTCATTTCCCCCCCCCCCCCCTCGCTCGCCGCCGATACAAGAGTGACCCCAGCCGGGACGTTGAGTTCGCGGCTTTTCGGAGGCGTCTGGTGCGTTGAGCTTGCTGCGCGGCTCTGGGGACCGCTGGCGCACGAGGCGTGACATTTGGTGCGCGGCTCCAGGGAGGCCGAATCGAAGCGCGCCAGCCAGTTTTTTGGGGAACCCTGTGGGCCCATACCAAAGGTCACTCTGGCGAAGGGTCACCCTTGCGTGCAGCCGATCCTCGCCCACGAGTTCTGGGAGGCGCCGGCGTTGGAGGCGATGAACGGGTCTGCGTCCTGGTAGCTAAGCTCCTGCTGGACGCTGAAGTCGATCTCCTTGGCGGCGGTGTCCTTCGGGACCTGATCGCTCACGTCAACGCACAGGCGGATCTGGCTGCCACTATGCACGTTTATAATACCATTTGCGGTGCGCACGACGCCCGTGACGCCCTCCATGGCGCGCAGCTGCTCCTCGAGCTTCTTGGCGCTCTCGGGGTCCAGGTGGTTCTGCCTGAGATCCAGCGCGCGCAAATATGGCAAGGTGTACACCAGCTGCATCAGCAGCCCGACCGAGTCAGAATCCAACGCGTTATCTTGGAGACTGAGATAGTGAACCGTGTCCTGAGCGTCGTAGCGCTGCACCAAGCTCATCATCTCGTTGATCTCGCGCTCGCCGAAGCTTAGGCCATCCAAGTGGAGGCTTGAGACGCTGCCAGTTTCGATGAGATTCATTATGTACCTCATTAGAGCCCTGGTTTTGAACGAATCGAACTCCTGCGTGCGGCTGAAGAGGGCCATGTTCCTCTGCCGGAGCGCCGCAACAAGCCCGTTCGACTTGGAGAGGTCGTTGAGGTACTGGTCGGACCTGGACTGCCCCTCGTGCAGCATGGCCAGGAGCTGCGCGATCTTCTCGATGAGGGGAGGCGTCGGGTTGCGCGCCTGCTGCGCCTCGTACAGGAACTCGTTGATCTGCAGCTTGTCCAGGAGGTCCGACTCGGCGGACTGGATCAGCACGGGCCTCTGCCTGCCGGCCTCGTCCAGCACGTCCTCGCGCTTGATGTAGTCGAGCTCCTTCTTGATCGCCTGCGCGTCGCTGGTGATGGTCGCCACCTCCTCCTCGAGCGAGTCGATCTCGTCCCGGAGTGCCGTGTTCTCGGCCGAGACGCTGGAGCAGCGGTCCGCCACCTTCTTCACCTCGACCTTGATCGTGCTCTTCTCCTCCTCCTGGCTGTCGATGCGGCTGGCCAGGTAGGAGTTCTGCGTCTGGAGCTGCTGGACCCTGTCGCTGACCGTGGACATCTCCTTCTCGGCCTTCTCCTGGGCCTGCTGCGAGGCGGTGACCGCCTCCTCCGACTTCCGGTTCTTCTTCTTCAGGACGGCGGACTCCTGCTCGGCCTCCCTGCGCTCCTGCTCCGCCAGCACTCTGGCGTCGCTCTCCATGGTGATCTTGGCCTGCAAGTTCTCGCACTGGCGCTCGAGGGACGTCAGCTTCTTGTCCCGGCCCATGTTCTCGGCCTCCTGCTTCTTGAGCTCGAGCTGGTTCAACCGGAGGGAGTCCATCAGCGCGTACACCTTGTCCGCCGTCTCGCGGCAACGCTCGGAAGTGCCGCGGTTCTCCTCCCCCCCTCCCTCCTGGCACCATGCTCCCCCCCTCGTCCCCCCCTCCGCCCATCACTCGCCTCCCACCCGGGTGGAAGGGACAATACGCGATGACTTCACTAAATCCCCACCGACCTGGCGCCGTACGTGCAGCGTCAGGGTGGGTGGGCTCACCCACCGTGCCACCATGAAGGACGGTACGAAGGCCCTGTGAGCAGTACGGGGTGGGCACGGAAGGGCACCCTACGCCCTTCCACCATCAACGGATTGCATCATAGCCTCCACCCTCACAAAAGTCCGTCATAGCCTCTGGCTTTCAAAACAAATTTCGGGGACCCGTGGAACTCACAACTCACAGACATTTAGTGTACATTATTTCATCCCATGCGTCGCATGCTCTCTGCTCCTCCTCCTCCTCCTTCTCCTCCCAACTCCCTGGTCCCAACTTCTGCCTCCCTCCTCATTTTTTCCTCGCCCCTCCTCCGGTCTCCCTCCCCCGTCTCCCCCAGGAGCTGCTTACAAACAGGACGAGAACTATAAGCTAGAAGTACAATATCATGGCCACACATCGGGAATCATCGAACCAATGATAATTATCGGAGGCCCTCCCCTTGAAAGCCCTGTGGAACTCGTTTGGAAAATATGTCTCGATCCGCACCCTTGCGTGGAGCACGCCTGCTGGTGCCGCGCAAACCGCGCATGCGCTTCTGGCTGCGAACGTGGGAAAAGCTTCCGATTCTCCCCTATCTCCGCGCCGCTCGCTCAACAATAACGTCTCTGCCCCCTCCCCAGCTGAGCCCACTGCCAATGGCCGTGCACCCTACCGCGGCGACAAGCTCACCGGATCCCACGGCGGTGCCTAGTTGAAGATGGACTTCTCTGAAAAAGAACAAAAAGTTCAAAAGACGTTTCTGTATAAAAACACAAAAGATGTAAATTACATAATCCCTCATACATTCACTGCAGACGCTAGATCCTGATCAAATAACGGTCTCCGAAAAACGAATCTGTAATAACGATGAATGAATTTTTAGAACGTTCGTTTGTTTCCGCTGCCGGTCAGTTTTCTATTCAGAGGAAGCCCACGTCGACCCTCCGCGGCGTGGCCCTGGAAGGGCAATGCGCGCAGCGGCGGCCATTCTATCCCACGCCCAGCTTGGTCGAACTACAATGAGGCCCGCTCGCAACACCACCCGGGACTTGCGAAAGCAAATGAAGACACGGGCAGATCATAGCACATGGACCATCGCCTTCGGATCCGCCGACCCCTTGGGGATCATCGGCGTGTGAGATGCTTCCCCCTCCCCAAACCCCTCCCCCCGGAGCCTGGTCCGGTGGATTTGGGGGGGGGGGGGCGTCCGGCCAAAGCTCACCAGGGGGTCCGGCCCTTCCCGGGCTCCTTTTGGAGGTCCACGACAGCTTCTGGGGCCGCCCATGAGGCCCCCAAGACGGTCCAAGAGGGCCCCGAGATGCCGAAAGAACGTTCCGAGACGCCTAACTTGGGCCGAAAGATCGTTCCACGACGCCTAACATGGGCCGAAGACAGCCCAAGAGGCCGCCAAGACGTTTCAAAAGGTCCCCCAAGAGGCCTCCAAAAAGCCAGAACCGTCAAATTCCAATATGACAGCGTACATTTCGAGCGCATACGATTTTTCCGCCTTCGCAGCGCGGAAGCCCTTCCAAGATGCCTCCAAGACCGCCCTAGGACGACCCCATAGGCTCCCAAGAAGCCCCCAACACGGCACAAGAGGCGCCCAAAGCGACCCACAAGGGCCCCAAGACTGCCCCAAGCGGGGCCCGAAGGGGACCACGAAACGAACATTCCAGCCGCCCGACCCCAGAGGCCCCCAGGAGGCCACGAGAGGCGCCAAGAAGGCGTCCAGACGCCCCCCAAAGGCCCCCAAGAGGCCCCAAGGGGCTCCCCAGAGGCCTCCAAGAGGCCCCAGGGGGCCCCAAGAGGCCCCCCGATCGGCTTCGACATGCGATGGTTCGGCCTCCGCAGCGCGGACGACCCTCCAAGACGCCTCCAAGACCGCCCTACGACGGCTCCATGGTCTCCCCAACCGGAACGGACACCTCGAGCCTTTCGGCTCCAAGACGCCCCCAACGTGCCCCACGGACCCCCAGGGAGCCCCCAAGAGAAACAAAGGGGTCGGCGGTGTGGCGTGAGCCCAGGAATCCGGAGCCGGTATTGTAATACATTATCCACGTCCGGAAGTGACGTGCTGAGCGGCAGCGTTTTCCGCGGATGCTGTAATGCAGTGGATCCAATGTGTTCAATGTTTGCATAATTCCCACATGCTGTATTGTGTTACAGTATTATGTCTCCCCCCTGACCCCCCCTGCAGTCGCGCCACATGAACGGACCAAGAGGCCCCCCCCCCCCTTCCGGGGCCTTAAAAACCGACAGAAACCTATGACAAATCAGCACATTCGACCTCTTGGGCCTCTTGGGGCTCCAAGAGGGCCTCAAGATGGCCCAAGATGACCCCATGACGGCCCAAGACGGCCCAACATATTCCCAACGGGGGCCCATGAGGCCCCCAAGACGGCCCCAAAAGCTCCAAGGACGGCCCAAAAGGGCCCCAAGAGCGCCCAGAACTGCGCCTTCAGAGGCCGAATTCATTAATTTTCCGCTGGTTTTTGGCAGTATCTTAGCGTTCTCGTCTTTTTCGACTTTCACAAATCCATGACGGCCCACGCAGCTTCCAGAATGGCCCCAGAACGAACCACGAAAAAAAACCCAAGAGGGCCCCAAGACGGCCCGGGAGGACCCCAAAACGGCCCAAAGAGGCCCCCAAGACGGTCCAAGAGGCCGCGAAGACGGCCCAATAGGACCCCAAGAAGGGTCCAATGCGGCCGCGAGAGGCCCCCAAGACAGCCTCCGAGGGGGCGAAACGGCGCAAAAGCGCCAAGACGGCCGAAGACGCCCCCAAGAAGCCTCCAAAAAAAACCCCAGAAGCCTCCAAAAGGCCTCCAAAAAGCCCCCAAAGGCCACACAGCGACTGGAGTGTAATGTCATTTTCCCCCCTCTGGGCGAACTGCGGCGCAGCGCCAGCCAGGTGGAAGTTGGTCACTGCGGCGCCCATGATGAGAGCCGGCGCTGGAAGGGAAGATGGGGAGGGTGTATGAAAAAGAAAGGGGAAAAGGCCCCAAAGAAGCTCCCAGGAGGCCTCCAGGAGGCCCCTAAGAGGCCCCCAAGAGGCCCCGCGACGACGTGACTGTACGTGCTCCGGACGTGCACCCCGCGAAGCGAGAGGAATCATATCTCCCCCCCTAACCCCCCCTGGGAGCCGCGCCACAGCGCCGTACCAAACTGATCGCCCCCTTCTGGGGCCCTAAAAACCGACAAAAACCTATGACAAATCAACAAATTCGGCCTCTTGGGCCTCTTGGGGCTCCAAGAGGGCCTCATGATGGCCCCAAGAAGGCCCAAGATATTCCCAACGGGGGCCCATGATGCCCCCAAGACGGCCCCAAGAGGGCCCCCAACGCCCCAAGGAAGGCCCAAGAGGGCCCCAAGAGCGCCCAGAACTGCGCTTCCAGAGGCCGAAATCGTTGATTTTACGATGGTTTTTGCAGTATCTTAGCGTTCTCGCTTTTTTCGACTCTCAAAAATCCATGACGGCCCAAGCAGCTTCCAGAATCGCCCCAAAACAACCCAAAAAACCCCCAAGAGGGCCCCAAAACGGCCCAAAGAGGCCCCCAAAACGGTCCAAGAGGCCGCGAAGACGGCCCAAGAGGGCCCCAAGAGGGCTCCAACGCGGCCGCGAGAGGCCCCCAAGACTGTCTCCGATGGGGGCGAAACGGCGCAAAAACGCTCCAAGACGGCCCAAGACGCCCCCAAGAGGCCCCAAGAGGCTCCCAAGAAATCCCCGAGAAGCCTCCAAAAAGGCCCCCCCCAAACCCCCCAAAGGCCACACAGCGACTGGAGTGTAATGTTATTTCCCCCCCTCTGGGCGAACTGCGGCGCAGCGCCAGCCAGGTGGAAGTTGGCCACTGCGGCGCCCATGATTAGAGCCGGCGCTGGAAGGGAAGATGGGGGGGGGTGTATGAAAAGGAGGGAGGGGGGAAAGGCCCCAAAGAAGTCCCCAAGAGGCCGAAAGAAGCTCCCAGGAGGCCTCCAGGAGGCCCCCAAGAGGCTCCCAAGAGGCCCCGCGACGACGTGACTGTACGTGCGCCGGACGTGCACCCCGCGAAGCGAGAGGAATCCAGAGCCGGCCTGGACATCCATGGGGCAGCACAGTTCAAACATGCTCGAGGTCGTGGAACGGGCCTCGGATTCGACGGGTGATCATGCTCTCTCTCCCGAGGATCGTGCCGCAGAGCTTAAAGCACTGCAGACAGAACGTGCACAAGGGGCAGGGCGACGGGGCGGGCAACGGATGCCTCGACAATCATACCACAAGGTCGTCGTATGACTAAGTCGGGCCTGTCCCCCTACCCGGGGGAGTTTCGACGAAAAGTAAGATATTATACCCCACAGATAATCAAGACATAGTCCAAACACAGTCAGGGGACTTTTTTTTGGGTGTAACAGAAAAACAACACATCTTATTTTTCGTCGACAGTTCCCTTGTAGGGGGACAGGCCCGACTGAATCGCATGGGGTGCTTCGAAGGGGCCAGCGCTGCGAGCCGTAGCAGCGCTCCGACCAAGTGGGTGCTCGCTCCGGCCACGGGCCGCGGGCCAGTCGGCCGCCCTCGGGCCTGTGCCCCTCCCCCGCCACCGCTCGGACGTCCAGTCCCTGTGTTTTTTTGTCGGGTTCGTGCGCGCTTGTTTGCGCCAAGGGATCAAGGATGCTCCCCGATGGTCCTCGCCGAAGGAACAAAAGGCACACGTCCGAGCGATGCCAAGCTCCCCTCGCCGTCCTCCTGGACCTGCTCGTTGGCCCGCTCGGCGGTGCTCAGGGCCTTCCTCAGGGTGTCGGCCTGTATTTCGAGGGCCTCGATGGCGGCCTCGCTCGGTGGCCCAGGGTGAGCAGCAGGAGAAGAGAACGATGGCGAGGATGATCAGGAGCAGGAGCAGGAGGAGGAGGAACACCAAGGACGAGGACGGGGCGCAGTAGCAGGAGGACAAGGAAACAGATACGGAGACGGGCGAGGGGAAGAATGCGAATGATCCAGACAGAGACGGGAAGGACGGCGCGGCGGAAGACGCGTGGGCGGAGGACTCTGATGCGGATGAGGACAGGGAGGAAGGCGGGGAGGGGCACGAGGCGGAGGAAGTGGCTGGGGAGGAGCACAGCATCGACGATGGGGGTAGGCGGGGGAAAGACGGAGGGAGGAGTTCCCGGGCGGCGTCCTGGGCGGCCCCAGGGGGCCGCCCCCGGAGGCCCGCGCACAGAGCCCAGGCCTCCGGACGCCCACGCCTCCAGGGGCTCAAAGAGCTCGAGCAGCCCCTGGACCCTCGACGAGGATGCTGGCAGAGGCAGAGAGCTGCGTGCATCTGCAGCCACATCCTATATGAGCCACGAAGCCCGAATTTCTTGAAACATCCTTCACTGTAACATCAGACATCCGAGCGCTGAATCCTCCCCATCACAACCAGCATAGCTACACGTCTAAATTTGGTTTTGACACCATTCACACTGCATCTTACGTACGAACCCCTAAAGACCCTCAATCCAAACAAATACCGTCTCTGGGGGGTGCATCTTCTAATCGCGCTGGCTTCCGCAATCTTCCGCCGATGCAACCGCCATCCGTCTTGCTTCCACCGCGTTCCGTCAGCCTTCCGCAGTTGTTTTTCTGGATTTCCCGAGCGGTCCAAGACCAAACGCGGCGTCTCTCGCTCTCGAGGCCCAAGCGTTACGTCAAGTTTGTGGCTGGAAGTGGGTCCGCCGAGGATGGGGGAGGGGGAGGGGAGGAGGATGGGAGGAGGGAGGGAGGGAGGAGGAGGAGGAGGAGAGGAGGAGAGGGAGGGAGGAGGAGAGGGGAGGAGGGGGAGGAGGAGGAGAGGAGAAAGGAGGAAGGGAAGGGGGAGGATGAGCGAAGATGGAGGAGGATAGGAAGGTGGAGGAGGGCCTCCAGCGGCCCGCGCGCCCTCTCGAACGAGCTGCGGCCCTCCTCGCCGCCCGCGAGCTCCGCTCTGAGCCTGTCGATGTCCGCGCGCACCTTCTCGACCTGCTCCTTGACCATCGCGGTCTCGGCGTCGAGGGCCTGGTGCCTGGTCTCCTGCTGGCTCCGATCGAGGTTCTTCATCCTCCTCCTCCTCCTCCCCTTTTCCTCCTCCCCCTCCTCCACCTCCTCCTCCTCCTCCTCCTCCTCCTCCTCCTCCTCCTCCTCCCTCTCCTCCCCTCCTCCTCCGCCTCCTCCTCCTCCTCCTCCTCCTCCTCCTCCGCCTCCGCCCTCCTCCTCCGCCTCCTCTTCCTGCTCCTCCTCCTCCTCCTACTCCTCCTCCTCATCCACCTCCTCCTCCTTCTCCTCCTCCTCCTCCTCCTCCTCCTCCTCCCCTTCCCCCCCCTCCCTCCTCCTCCTCCTCCGCTCCTCCTCCTCCTCCTCCTCCTCCTCCTCCTCATTCCTCCTCCCTCATTCCTCCTCATTCCTCATTCCTCCTCCCCCTACGAGGGAGAAGGAGGATGAGGATGAGGATGAGGAGGAGGAGGAGGAGGAGGATGAGGAGGAGGAGGAGGAGGGAGGCCCCCGAGGATCGCGGCTTCGGCGATTCTTCACTGCCGCTGCTCTCTTCCCGAGGTTCCCGGGGAGCGCCCTCAGCGCCACGGCCAAAGCCCGCCTCGGGGACCCCCGTCCAGAGAACGCACTCCTGGACGGATCTGGGGGACCCGACCTCTGGGGAAACAGCGCCGCGGATGTTTCTCAGCTTTCGGCCCCAGGGGGCCGCATTCTTTCTGGGGCCACATCCATCCAACAAACGGCCAAGGGCTGCACGGGCCGCAAGTCCACGGGCAGTAGGCCACTCGGATCCACCGCATACGCTGAGAGCGGCTCAGGGGGAGCTTCAATTGCTCTTGCCCTCCCAGGGTGCCTCAACTCGCCTCTTGGGGCGCTCTTGGATCGCTCTGGGGCGCTCTCTTGGGGCTCTCTCTGGCCCCTCTTGGGCCCCCCTTGGGGCCATCTTGAGGTCCCGGATGGCCCTCGGACGCGGTTTGCCCTGGCCTCTCGCCGCGACAGCGCCCCGAGGCTCCGCCGCCCGAGAGTAACCCCGAGCAGTGCTGCTCCGGGCGCCCGGGTGCCACCGGCCGGCGCCCACGGCCGACGCCGACCGCCGCGGCGAAGAGCCCAACCCTTGGGACCCAGGACAGGGGCGTTTCCAAGCAGAAGCGCGGCGTCGGCAGTCGAGGCTCTAGAGCAGGGCAGACCCCCCCCCAAAAACATGATCGACCCACGAGCCTGGAAAGTAAATGTAGACATGTGAGGCATGGCAACGTGTTCAAGATGCCTGATCGGCGGCGGGCAGTTGCAATACCGAGTGTATCGATCTTGATGCACCGTGCCTAAGGCTGTGCTGTGCTGCGCCGTGCTGAATTGCGATGTGCCATGCCGCGATTGTGCTCTATAACGTTGTGGATCGACTCCTCCTTTGCATCCGGGTTCTGACCGAACTGATCTGGATCTTAAGCTCGAGCTGCCTGAGCATATAGTAGCTGCCCCGGGGCTAATTGACAGGGGTAAATGCCAGGGGGACGCGCCACCGAACGTCCCAAGGGACGCGCCAGGGGACGTGCCAGGGGACGTGCCATGGGGACGCACCGCAGGACGTGCCAAAGGGATGTGCCATGGGGACGCACCGCAGGACGTGCCACGGGGACGCGCTACGGAACGTGCCCATGGACGTGCCACGGGACGTGCCAGGGGATGCGCCGCGCGACGTGCCAGGGTAACTCGCCACGGAACGTGCCAGGTTGCAATGCTGAATGTAACGATCTTGACGTACCGTGCCTAAGGCTGTGCTGTGCTGCGCCGTGCTGAATTGCGATGTGCCATGCCGCGATTGTGCTCTATAGCGTTGTGGATCGAGTCCTCCTCTGCATCCGAGTTCTGACCGAACTGATCTGGATCTGAGGCTCGAGCTGCCTGAGCACATAGTAGCTGCCCCGGGGCTAATTGACAGGGGTATCTGCCAGGGGGACGCGCCACCGAACGTCCCAAGGGATGCGCCAGGGGACGTGCCAGGGGACGTGCCATGGGGACGCATCGCGGGACGTGCCAAGGGGACGCGCTACGGAACGTGCCCATAAACGTGCCACGGGACGTGCCAAGGGATGCGCCGCGCGACGTGCCAGGGGAACTCGCCACGGAACGTGCCAAGTTGCAGTGCTGAATGTATCGATCTTGACGTACCGTGCCTAAGGCTGTGCTGTGCTGCGCCGTGCTGAATTGCGATGTGCCATGCCGCGATTGTGCTCTATAGCGTTGTGGATCGAGTCCTCCTCTGCATCCGAGTTCTGACCGAACTGATCTGGATCTTGGGCTCGAGCTGCCTGAGCACATAGTAGCTGCCCCGGGGCTAATTGACAGGGGTAAATGCCAGGGGGGCGCGCCGCGGAACGTCCCAAGGGACGCGCCAGGGGACGTGCCAGGGGACGTGCCATGGGGACGCACCGCGGGACGTGCCACGCGAAAACAAGCGTCTCTCTCTCTCTCTCTCTCTCTCTCGAGAGAGAGAGACATCCTCAACACATCCTCATGCTAGACATCTGCCTGGACGGCCTGGACGCATGAAAACAAGCGTCTCGCTCGAGACATCCTCAACACACCCGGGTGCTAGACATCTGCCTGGGCAACTTGGAGGCGTGAAACCAAGCGTCTCGCTCGAGACATCCCCAAGACCTGGGCACGTGAAAACAAGCATTTCACCTCAGGCATCCTCTGAATTCTTGTCCCCAGGAGAGGAGCGATCTAGCACAAGACAAACGTTTCACTCGAGACAAGCTCATCAAATTAGGCAAAACAAGCGCTTCGTTCGAGACATCCGCAACAAACGAAAATGCTTAATTCATCCTGTATTTTATCGATCGGACTTTCAAAAACCAGCGTTTCGCTCGGGACATCCACAAATTGTAATTCGCTGGTCCTGCGCGACCTTGCTCTTTATCGCAAACCATATCGCCGGCCCGTCTCAAATCGTTCCCGGGGGTCCAACCTCTAAAAGAGAACCCTGGGCCGGCGCCCTTTCCGGGTAAACACACCGACGGATCGCAGCAATGACCAGACATGTTCCGCGGGCGTGGGCTGCGCCGCGACTTGCGCGAACTGGTGCAAACACTTTGAGATCATGAGTCCTGATCGTGGACCAGATGACTGGGTCGGTCTGGCCCGGCCAGGCTGATTTGGGCCCGCGAGGAATGCAGACCCACGAGGTGCGAATCGACCATCAACACTGGCCGGTGATATCCATTCTCTATGTGAGGGGGGGCAGCGGATCGGACACCTCGTGACGGCACAGCTCGCCGAGGCGAGGGTGGAACCGTTGCGGTAGCCTCACAAGCCCTGCATCCGGAAGCAAGCCATAAGCAGAAGAGAAGGGACGAAGCCGAAGACAGGCCAGCCTGACGAAGCCGAAGACAGGCCAGCCTGGCCGCGCCATTCTTAGGAAAACAAAGAGTGGTATAAACATAAAAACTCGGAGGTCCGCGCGGATTTCTCGGATCGGCGCTGAGGCCCCCCGGCGGCGCCTCCGGCGCCGCCCCTGGCGCGCTCCGCGCGCCAGGGAGGGGGGTCCAGCGCCGATCCGAGGAATCCGCGCGGACCTCCGAGTTTCTATGTTTATGCCACTCTTAGTTCCCCGAATTTTGCTCGTCGCCCGCGGCGAGGTCTGCCACACGTGCTGCCTCACTCCCCTGCCCGTGGCGCACAAGGGGCGGTGCCAGCGTGGGCCTCCTGCCCTTGTAGAGGGCGGGAGGCGGGCCCCGCCCTCGGTCGCTGCCGAGAAAGAGTGTGTGCGTGCCGTCGCGCGGAGTCACGACGGGGGGTCTGGTGGCAGCTCATCTCGTCGTCTCTGGCGAATTGACGCTGTTCGACGCTAGATCGACGCCCGCCGACGCGAAATCGACGCTCATCGGCGCTGTCGCGGCGACTCCCAGACGCTACTCGAAGCTGATCGACGCCAAAGACGGAATTAAGTGGGTATACCCAGGCTCCCATGATCTGCTGCCGACTGGAGCCCTGGGCCCAGTCTTTCTGCGGCATCGCTCGAGACGGATCGATACACGATTGATGGCCCCAGGGCCCGAAGCTGGGCGACAAACACGCCCGGTGAGGAATAAATATATGCAACGCCAGTAGCTTTAAGTCGGGCGTGTCCCCCTACAGGGAGATTTTCGACGACACATAAAAATACCTTAACATGCTCCAGCATGGTCAAAACATATTCAACAAATAATCCTCAAACTATTTTTTGACTATTTTTGAATTTCCCCCTGTAGAGGGACAGGCCCGACTTAACAGTAGCTGAATGGGAAGGGTGGGGGGGGGGTCGCGCCGCGCCTGGCTTCTCGCAGAGCGCTGCGCTAGGCGCCTTCATCTTCGCGCACTCGTGCCGACCTCCTGGACTTAGGTCGGGCATGTCCTCCTACAGGCGGACCTTGGAAGGAAGACAAACAGAGGCCCAGAACGGATGCAGACATAGCCAGACATGGTCAACGAACCGCCCCCAGACTATTTTTTGACTATTCTTGAATCTTCCACCTGTATGAAGGGGCCCAAGGACACAAATAAATACACACAGATAAAAGGATTCCCAATCTGTTTCCATATTTTCTGGATTTTTGTCTTCCCCCCACTTCCCATATCTTCCCATATCTTCGTGGGAATCGACGATTAATTGTGTCTGTGTGTTTTTTCCCTCCTGACTGTAGAGGGACATGCCCGACGTAATCCTGGACGGAAGGACGGTCCTGCGGCCCCGGCCGGCGAGGAGCGAGGCGCGGGCCCCACCTCTTGCGCCCCTGCGAGGGTGGGCCGGCTTGCTCCTGCTTGTTGATGCGCTGCATGTACTCGAGGTTCTTGCTGTCGACGACCTCGCCATCGCTCGGACGTCCATTCCTCGTGTACTTTCCGATTTCGTGCGTGTTGTTTTTTCGCCAAATGGTCAAGGATGGTCCTCGATGGCCGTCGCCGAGAAGAACTGCACACGTCCGAGCGATGCCAAGCGACCTGGAGCGCCTGGCCGAGGGACTCCATGTCGACCCTGGTCTTGGCCTCCGCGTTCTGGATGTTGGTGCGCAGGGTCTCGTTGATGTTGCGCTGCCCGCGCACGTTCGCGACGGTGTCGGCGCACCTGGCTTGCGGACGCAGCTGGCACGTCCGATAAGAAATCTTGCTGTGCTAAGTGTGTATGTGTGTGTGTGTGTGTGTGTGTGTGTGTGTGTGTGTGTGTGTGTGGGGCGCATTCGTCCTTGATCTTCGAGGGTCCTGAGGTGCGCCAGAGCTTCCGTGGGCTCCCGGGGCAGGCGGGGGACACGACACTTCCGCGCGGCACCTGCCGGCAGGCCGATTTCTTTTGTTCGATGTGCCTGCCGTGTTGGCGGGGACTTGCGCGGGAGGGCTGGGCGAGCTTACGCGGTGGTATATGCAGGCCGCGAGGGCGCACGACCACACGGACAGATGAGTGCGGACAGGGCGACCTCGCGCGGGCAGCGTGCGCGCGGTGGGCCCCCTTTTTGTTCTCGCCGCCCGCCTGGCTTTCGCGGAGGCCACCTGCTGCTCCAGCTCTGCCTTCACGGAATCGAACTCGTCGGCGATCACCTGCAGCCGGCGATTGTGCGAGTCCAGCTCGCGGATCTTGGCGGCGGCGTCCTTGGACTTTGTCTCCTCCGCCTCCAGCAGCGCAATCATCTGGTTGTTCTGCTCCGACAAGACCTTGACGTGCTCGTCTTTGGCGCCTGTCTCATGAGTGTCCTGCTGCAGACGAGCCTCCAGCTGCGCAGTGCGGTCCCGGACGGCCTGGACCTCGCTCACGATGTGCGCGTCCCTCTCTTGGCATGCCCTGATCTGCTCGCGCGCTTCGTCGCGCTCGTGCTCCACCTTCTCGAGCGAATGGAGGATGGTGTGGTTCTGCTCCTGGAGGAAATTGATCTCGTTGTTCCTGAACTTGTCCTTCGCGGCGTCCGCCATGATCGCGGGGTCCACCGCAACTGATGCCCCCGACCAGAAGAGCAGTCTAAACATATCCTTTCGAAGCTCCGCGCGGACTTCTTGGACTCGCGCTGGACCCCACCCAGGGGAGGGGGGCCCAGGGCCGATCCGAGAGATGCGCGCGGACCTCCGAGAGTTCGCGCCTGTGCCTGCTTAGCCTCTTCCGCCCACGCGCTGCGCCGCCCGCCCTAACCTTCGGCTATGGGGGCGTGGTCTGGGGCCGGGTAAACACCTCGGCGCCGAGCCGGGCGGCCTGAGCCATGATGGCTGGGGTCATGATCACCGGTGAGCCTGCGCTGCCGCCTCGTGCTCCGAGCGCTGGCTCTCTTCTGCTGCTCGTCTGCTGCTGGCCTTCCTCCCTCGCCTGGTGCTGCTGCTGCTGCTGCTGCTGCTGCTGCTGCCAATCCCGCTGCTGCTGCTCCTCCTGGCTATCGATCACGTGTCCGCTACGACCCCTCCGGCTCCGACTACGCCTGCTCCTGCTCTGCTCCTGGCCTGCTTTGCCTCGGTTACCCCCCTTCTCCTCCGGAGCCCGCCCTTCCTCCCGCCTCCACCACCTCCTCCTCCTCCTCCTCCTCCTCCTCCTCCTCCTCCCGCCTCCTCCTCCTCCTCCTCCCCCCCTCCATCCCATTTCCAGGGAACCGATACCGTTACTTCTCGGATCCCTCCGAGGGTGCGCTCTGGCCAGGGCTCCCCGGGCGACTCCGGCCGTGGCGACGAAGCCCCCCCCCCCCCAGAGGCCCGGAAGGGCAAACTCGCATCGGTATCGGCGTGCCTCTGTCCTCTGACCTCTTCGTCCCTCCACTCCGCCCCGGCCATAACTCGGAGAAGACAGAGCGACATGAACATAAACTTTTGGCCTGGACCATCCCACCTGGCGCGCGGCGCCGCCCCATGGGCATAACTCGGAGAAGAACGAACGACATGAACAGAAACTTCTGGCGCTCCGCGCGGACTTCTTGGATCTGCGCTGGACCATCCCCCACCCTGCGCGCGGCGCGCGCCGTGGGCGGCGCCGGAGGCGCCGTCGGGGGGGTGCCCAGCGCGGATCCAAGAGATCCGCGCGGAGCGCCACAAGTTTATATGTTTATGGCATGCGCAAGAGACGTGACCACGGCGTGGTGCGGTGCCCGGGTCCGAGATGGGCCCCACGCGGCCGAACCCCGTGAAAAACATATGCGGGCAGCACGCCCGGCGGCTCGAACAGGCCGAGGCGGCAGGTCATTCCCTCCGCGTTGGGCCCACGGAAGCTGGCTTCGGGCCTCGGGGCCCTCCAGCTCGACTCGGGATGCAGAGCCGCCCCCGAACGGAAGGCTCGAGAGGTCCGGGGAGGCCCGCGCAGCGAGCTTACCGAAGCACCAGAGGTGCCTGGGAGGGCCCCTCTCCTCCAAGGGCCCCCTCCAAGAAGGCAAGCCGACCCGATCCCAGCCGTGTGGCGCTCCAGGACTGTCGTTGCTTGGGCCCCGGATGTTGGGGCGGGTGGTAGGGGGGGGTGACCTGAAGGGGGGGTGAAGAAACGGGCCCTAAACGGGCCCTTCAGGGGGAGGAGGAGGGGGAGGAGGAGGAGGAGGAGGAGGAGGAGGAGGAGGAGGAGGAGAGTAGGAGGAGGAGGGAGTAGGAGGAGGGGGAGGAGGAGGAGGGGGAGGAGGAGTAGGAGTAGGAGTAGGAGTAGGAGTAGGAGTAGGAGTAGGAGTAGGAGTAGGAGTAGGAGTAGGAGGAGGAGGAGGAGGAGGAATTGGAGGAAGAGGATCACATTTTGGAGGGGCACATTTTGGTGAGAGCCTTGGCTCTCTGGGATCCCCGAGCTGCTGCTGCTGCTGCTGCCGCCGCCCCGGCCCGGCCACATCAGGAAAGGCCGCAGCCCAGGCGGCGGGTGCGGTGCACCCCGGGCGTCCGGCGTCCTGCGGCACCATCACCTGGGTCGTCCGGCGGCCGAGCGCGTCCTGGCCGGGGGCCCGCGTGCGAGCCAGAGATCCAAGGCCCTGGAAAATTTGGAGCGGCCGGCTCTGGACCATTTTCGGGTTCCGGGGGCCCTCGGCGGGCCCCTGGACCGTCAACAAGAACGACTCTCGGGATACAGAGCCGGTCCTGGGGCAACCGTCCAGACCTCTGGCGGTCCACGCGTCGAACAGCTTGGAGCGCCGGGATGTCTGAGTATAACTGCACCGCTGCCGTCCCAGCCAGGGCCGTCCTGGGTCCCGGGATGGCGCGTGGACTTCCTGGTCCCAGACCATCGGTATCGTGACTTTTCATGACGTGACCCTAAGGAGTCTAGACCCCTTCCCGGGGACTGGCTCTTCATCCTGCGTCGTTTCTTGACGGTCCCGAGGCCCAGGTGAGGGCCCCTGGAAGCCGAAAATGGCCAAAAACCTTCCGTCGTGATGCTCTCACAGCGCGAGGGGGTCTGGGGTCGAGGCTGGGAAAGGAGGAGGATGAGGAGGAGGAGGAGGAGGAGGAGGAGGAGGAG